TACTCGAGTATACTAATCAAAAGTTGGAGAGAGAGAAGAGAAAGATATCTTCTCGTCAGTGGTCGTATATCCAGATATGTACTGTAATCGTTGAGGGTTTGAACTTTACATATACCAGTCAGTATATTACAGTAACATATCATAATACATTTTTTTATAAAAAAAAATCGAGTTTCTATGAATTGCCTCAACCAACTCATGAACCCAACCAGCTCGGTCGGATATCTTCTTCGGTCACTCATCCCGGCCCCAACCCCCCCTTCATGATCAATTGTCCAAACGAGAAACGAGAAACGAGAAAAAAAAAATAAGACAGGGAGGAGGGAGGCGTTTTGATGCCAAGAGAAGTTTAGAATTATGCATATCGCATCGAATGCGACTCTATCTCAGATATGTATGTATTCGATCATGTACACTTTCTCATCACCTGCATTGTACAGAGTAGGTAGGTAGGGTAGGTATGTTTGTATATTTTTCTGACTTGCCATTATTCATTCCCTCGTTCGTCCCGTTGTCACAACATGCTCAATCATATATAATTAGATTCATGAAATTGCGTCGGTATCAAAAAGTATTCTGATTAGAGGTCCATACCGGTACCGTATGATTCCGTTCAATATTCCCTTCACCTCAAGACTCAACTTGCCAATACTCATACTGTAATGGCAATTCAAAAGTTCATCGGCCTTCATCCTTCGATAAACGTGGATCCCCTGGATACCGCTTGAATGAGGAGTGGTTGAAAATAATATATCACCGATAGTATTGTCCTTGAGCTTTTGATCCTAGTCTCTTCCTAATTTATAACTCCCGTAGAATCTGGCCGACCGTGGCTACATTGATTGGCATATGTGATTCGTTCTGAACGTTACATTTGCATCCTTGGCACACACATACACATTCATAGTCATCCACACCTCCTCTCATTTCTGACGCTAAAAGTACGCATGTTCAGGGTTAACACACATCTCTCGGCCCAAGCCTTCCCAAAATATTTTTCTCACTAGAACACCAAATTCCTTCTAAGCACTTATTCGTGCGAGTAATTTTATGGCCACTCGAGAAGTCGAAGCAGATCAAAGATTCTCTGACCCTCTGATCCTTCCCCGATCTCCTCCTGGTTCTCTTTTTACTCCAGACTCTGGATTGTCTCCCTAGTCCTCCTTCTTCCTTAGCTTTTACTTTAGCATACTTGTATACCGAAAGAGACAACTTGGTCGCAGCCGACGGTGAAGAAAAAAAAATTAAATAATTGTTGAACACAAAGCAGGGCCATTACGCCGCACGCACGTCAGTAGTCTCCCACCTCACTGTCCATTCATCTTCCATCCATGATCTATCTAGCACTGCTGCACTGTATTGCCTGTGTTCTGTTATTACCTCATTACGACAAGACGAACTCTTCAAACCTACTAAAGCAACGACTAGACTTGGTTCGGAGTAGCACCATTGTTTGTGAAAGACTTGAAACAAAGCGCGCGATTAGCTCGTCGTTGGAAACAAACGCCTACCCAGGTACTGGATCTAACTCTAGCTCTGGCTTCATTCCTTAGACTAATTTTCCCCAGAGAATCCATTCATAGCCTCTTCCCGCGCGTCTGGGTCGCCCTACACAAGCTTCGCTCAATAAATCCCCTCCATCAACACCACCGCCACAACATCGGCATAGTGCCGCGTCTGTACGAAATCATCGACAGATAACGTTGTTAGAAACATCTATTCCTAAGTTTGTTGACCTTGTTCAAAGCTTCCTGTCGATCAGTCAATTGATATCACGTGTATAGTATTAGTTTCGAGACTACTTACTTACCCGCTATTATTCCCCGTCGACATCGCGCAGGGGCTTGCCAAGGAATTCATCCGAGGCTTTTGATATGTTTGCGCTAGTCACTGTAAGTTAATTAGCTTCCATTAAACAATATCATGATGGGAATGTGAATAACGATATCGACATCAAAGCTTCAGACCTCTGTGTCGGAAGAAAGGTTACTGATCTTTTCATCAAGAGTGCATTTGCGCCTTATGCGCATTTGCTTCACTCATATTTAATTGATCCGTACTGACATATGAAAGTTGTTCAAGATTAATAAATAAATTTTTGCGGGCCCAACACACTTTTTTTTTTGGAGAGAGTCTGATCTTTACCTCCCTCTGCCACCAAAAACAATTATACCAGTACCGATACATCACAGCACATTACCAAAGCACCTTTTTGACTAGGCACGACTTCATTCTCTATCACTAAAATACGAATTAGAAGTCTGCGAGTTTGCGAGTCTGCAACACGCGAAGCTTCTACTTCTCGACTCAGTTCCGAGAATTGTTTATTGACATAAAAGAGGGCAAGACGCGTCTTGAGTACTACTGTCGTTTGCCGGTGAAGAACGAACAGAGAGACAGACCCATCCGAAATCCAACCATCATCACCAAGCTTTTGGTAATTGTGGTTGAGCATAACTTTGAACTCAATATCACTTACGGCAAAATTGATGGCCATCAACGACAGGAATAACCGCAACGATCCTCCATTTGGAAGAGTACTCACTCCTTCAAAATAAAGATCAGACAGACAAAAAAACCATACAATTGCAAGACGCCTTCAAGTAGTAACAATAACGGTGTCGATTTGAAGGGAACCAATCATACGTTATTTCGATCCAGGAACAGGCGCGTCTCAAGTACGACCTCGTTCTAGTGAATTGAACATAATATTTGACTGCATTGTCAAGCAGACAAGCAGAGTGTCAGCTTTCTTCAGGCAGCTTCTCCACGCAGCAAGATCTATCAGACTTTTCCATCATCTTCCAGGGACATTCGTCTTGTCCCGATTCAGTGCATTTGAAATACTTTATTGAACTCGGCTTTCCCATTCTCAACAGCGTCATCAAAGCAAAAAGAGCACGTCGACTCCACTGCATCCATTCCACCGGAATAATAGAGTTTTGTGTGTTGTGCCAGGATTTGTGACAGTGCAATACCGAGAAGGCGCTCACTCTAACTCAGCCTAGCCAACTTGACTGAGTCAAGGCATCGATCGAGATTGAAGTTGTAGCAAGCCCTGAATTTGAGGAAGTTATCAATAATTGTTACCACGACAGTGACGAGGCAACTTTGCATCTTCGCAAGGCATTGATTGTGCCATTGAGTCATTGTGCTAGTACATCTACTTAGTTTCTACCTAGTTTTCTACCTAGATACTTAGTAGGTAAGTACTGGTGAGGATCCACAGATTCACAGAACCACATATCCACAACCTTGCCAACCCAAGAGTTTATCAAAATCTTTCAACTTCCCAGTCCAAGATCCAAAGATTCACGCATTGGGTATTGATCTTCATTATTCAACACGATTCAGTCGATGCATTTCGGTACCAGACTCCCAGCGAAATTCCCTCTAAACCATTTCGGTACCAGGCTCTGCGAATTTCCAATTAAGCAACAACGCTCCGGAAGACTATACTATAACTCACGATCATTTAGTTTCGTGGGTGACAGTTGTGGGCAGGGTGACGGACCAACAGTTCATCAATTCTAATAGTTGAAATCGCTTTCCATCACATCAAAATACATTGTTATTCACGAGTCACCAAGTACACGAGAGAGTACGAGTATCAGTACCGGCAATTCATTCACTTTTTTAGCCAAGGATTGATGAATTCAAGGATCGACATTTCTACTCAATTCACTTCCTTTGAAAGACAAAAGAAAGAAAAGAGAAAGGAAAATTCAATTCCCTACCAAACATACCCAAAGGAACTGGAACTGGAACTAGAACAAACAGCAATTCTTCCATCACTTATTAATTTAAGGTTGTAACTACGACAATACTCAACACATCTTGTCCATTCTTGTCAGCCATATTCCCGGTTATCGGTATTGGTACTGGTACTGGTTATTGTTATTGGTATTCTCCAAGAGACAATCCGGATTAAATCTACCGGTACATAGGTTTATCGAAGATATCAATTTATATTGACACACACAAATTCACTAAAATCGAATCAGACTACCTACCTAGGTAATAGGTACCTTGTAAAAAGAGTTTTGATCTTCGGTACGAAGTGGGTACCTTGCATCTTTATTTTCCTCGGTAATAAAGTTTCAATCAATTTATTGATGATTTCATTAATTTGAAGCATTCAACAAAGCATCGGCATCAAAAATCAAAAAATCAAATCCATCAACATCAGCCACACTTACCTTCTCCACAAAATCAATTTTTTTTCTCTTCAATTTTTCTCTTTCACATTGATAAGAGTTTATAAGAATTGAACAAAAAGTCCAAATTCAATCAAAAGTCGAAATAACCTCCACCCTTTCAATAATCCCAACTACTTCAATCAAACAGCTTTTCCTCGGAAACTATCACAAGCTTGAAGCTACTACATGATACACAGTGCACATACACACTAGTTCACTAGTCACTAGCTCATCACCTTTCTTAGTAGCTTTCTCATTCAACTTGGTTCTTACCCGACTTGGACTTGGTTGGACTTTTAGACTTATCAGGACTTGAACCCTCCATTACTTCATCCATCCATTTTGTCCAGTCGGACCACAACCCATACTTGATCGACCATACTCAGATCATACTGTCATCGAATAGTATTGAACTTTAATCCATCGACCAAGAATTCGGGATCGATCATTTCTTAGTTCTATATTTTTTGCGCAAAATAGATCGGACTAGGACTAGGATATTACACTAGGAGTATACTACAGTACATACACCTTACTCGCACATTCAATCACTTCCTTCCCTATTTATATTATTTCCCCCCCCCCCTCCCATTCTCTTCTAAATTCATCAACTTCAAACCATATCGCAAAGAGACACACCTAGGAGGAACTCGCACCTTCTTATCACTTTTTATTTATTTTGCAATTTCAATTCCAATTCCATATTCCAAACCAAAACGAAAACGAAAACATAATTTACGACGCGCCATTACAGCTGCAAGTCACCGACAATAACATACTCTAGATCTCCATAGATCTAGGATGTCCTCGGCTCTAGCACGTCACACACTCAACACTCCTACAGTTGCAACTGCCAACGGCAGTGCAAGCAAGACCGCGCCAGACGAAACAGAAGCCAATCTGAGTAATCTTCTGGTAGCATACACAGACGGTCAGAGAGCACACTCTATGGAACGAGACTCTACCGGATACTCGCAGACAGGTTTGCAAACGCCCTATCCACACGCTTTTACCGACGCCCATTCTGAAGACTCAATCGCAGATAATACATCTGCTGCGCAGTTTACACCACATCAAGAAGTTCGATCGAACAATAACTACTCCGCAGTAGCCCCTCCCACCACGTCCGACTTCGGCCCTCCTTTTCTACCAACGTTGTCGCGTCCCGCCAACTACCCTGATCATATACAGAGGACATATCAATCCGCAAGTAATCATAGCAGTAACAGTGGAGGAATGGCCCAACCAACAAGTCCGTCTATACCTTTGGCAGATGGCCGTTCAACCCATCAAACTCCGCAAATCAAATCTGACCAGGATGTTCCTATAGATCCATCAATTGCTGCCTCCAGCCCAACTTACCCAGCGCACGGCGGCCAACACTCTCCATACCCTCAACAAGATCAAATGCATTTCAACTACCCCGCAACACACCCCGGCGGCGCGATGTATACACAACCAAGACCCGATTGGGCAGGTTACGGTGCAGGCCACGCAGGCCACGCAGGCCATCCAGGCCATCCAGGCCATCAAGTTCATCAAGGTCACGCAGGCCATCCAGGCCATCACCCAGCTTCTCACAATGGGATGAATTACCCAGTCGGCGGTCCCTCAACTGCATCTTCAACTTCAATGGGACGTCCTCAAGTAAGTCAAATTCATTTTCATATCTTTGATTGGGTCAATATACACGCATCTCTCTCTCTTCCTCTCACATAATGGAAACGCGCATCCGATTCCGTCATTCCTTTGATCCCGCTTTGCAGGACCACTAATATTAACAGGGGCATCTGTCACAGATTTATTCGTTTGTACCAATCCCCGGTTCTCAGCAAACTAAGCGTCCCAGAAGACGATACGAAGAAATTGACCGCATGTACAAGTGTGGATATCACGGATGTGAGAAAGCATATGGTACCTTGAACCATCTTAATGCCCATGTAACAATGCAAAGCCATGGAAATAAGCGCACACCTGAAGGTATGATTGTCTTTTTACTCGTCAAATATTCGTTACACAGCAACATCTGTATATCGGCAGAGATGACTATTTCAAAAAATTCTATTTGTGCTTTTCAAGGGGTTCACGGAAATCCGCAAATGGCGCCGAACTAACATCGGTTGGCGTTAACCACATCCGCTAGCATGGGTCGACCATTTTCACGGGACCTGTTGTGTAACATTGGCAAGCTAACGTCTTGTGCTTGCAGAATTTAAAGAAATCCGAAAAGAATGGAAGGCTCGTAAGAAGGATGAAGAACAAAAGCGCAAGGAAGCCGACAGTGCTCGTTCTGTCGCTGGCCCTTCCTCTGAGATTCCTCATTCTGAAGGCCCATCATCTCAAGTTTCCTATGCTCCAGCTCGATCAGTTCAGCTTCCTCCTATTGGAGGGGTAACTATCGGTTATCAACCTGGTGCTCAAGTCCCAAATCAATATCAACAACAAGCTCAACCACCAGCTTCAGCTGTTCAGCAATTACAACAATATGGCAATGGTCAACCTGGCATGGATCACTATGGTGGTTATCCAGCATCGCCTTACGGTGCCCCAAACCATATGTATAACAATTCAGGTCAGTCTCCCTTTGATATTCCCTTTTTGTATTTCAACAAACTAACACCATCTTCAGCTGATCAACCTCAACCTGAACCCAAGTATGAGCAGTAGAGTTGTTTCGCAACTGTATTATATGGGTTTTGCTGTTAGTGTTATCTGGTTTTGCAATGTTCTTTTCCAAAGTTTTAGATGCTACATTCATCCTGGTTTAGTCCTGCACGCAAATGCACAAAATTCCACATCTTCAACTATCTAAGATTCATCTTCATCATCCTCACCATCCTCTTTTGGTTTGCAATGTTCTCTTCCAAAGTTTTAGATGCTACTTTCATCCTGGTTTAGTCCTGCACGCAAATGCACAAACTTCCACATCTTCAAGTATCTAAAATTCCTCATCTTCTCATCCTCTCCATCCTCTCCATCCTCTCCATCCTCTCCATCCTCTACATCTTCTAAAGAATTCATCCGAATCATCCAAATCCTAAATTCGACCAAGCACACGCCTTGACGACATTTTTCCAAGACACTTCTGTACTTAGTAAAGAATTTGGTTTAAAGGACGGTGTACCGACCGCTGCACTCCCCAGCATCTAAATTTGATTATGTTTGTTTTTTGTTATTTTTTCGTTATTTTGCACATCATGGATCTGGAATTTGGGGCTCTGACGTCGTCTACATTACTGGGAGCTTTGATCATGCATCGAAGCCAATGGTTCAGGGGATGAGGGAAGGCCGCATTTCCGGTATTCGATTTTGCTGTATTGTTTTTTCGTTATTTTGCACATCATGGATCTGGAATTTGGGGCTCTGACGTCGTCAACATTACTGGGAGTTTTGACCATGCATCGAAGCCAATGGTTCAGGGGATGAGAGAAGGCTGCCTTTTTCGGTCTTGTACTAATATGCGAATCGATCTGGAATCTGGGGCTCTGTCTCCGGCATTTGCCAAACGCAAATCGATCTGGAATTTAGGGCTCTGACGTCGTCAACATTACTGGGATTTTTAATCATGCATCAAAGCCAATAGTTAAGTGGATGAGGGAAGGCCGCATTTTCCAGTATTTGTCAAACGCAAATTGATCTGGAATTTGGGGCTCTGACGTTGTCAACATTACTGGGAGTTTGATCATGTATCAAAGCCAATGGTTAAGTGGATGAGGGAAGGCCAAATTCTCCGGATCTTCCAAACGCAAATCGATCTGAAATTTGGGGCTCTGACGTCGTCAACATTACTAGGAGTTTTGTTGATCATGTGAGGAAGGCTTTGGGATATGATATACATCGAAACCAATGATTTAGAGGATGAGGGAAGGCCAAATTCTCCGGATCTTCCAAATGCAAATCGATCTGAAATTTGGGGCCCTAATGTCGTCAATATTACTAGGAGTTTTGTTGATTATGTGAGGAAGGCTTTGGGATATGATATACATCGAAACCAACGGTTCAGGGGATGAGGGAAGGCTGCATTTACCGGTATTCGCGTTTGCCATGTTATTTTCTTGTTATTTTGCACATCATGGAGCTGCATTTTGGGGGTCTCTTGTGGGTCTCTTACAAATCCACCAATGCACCAATGCAGCTCGGGTGTTCACATGTATTTCACTTTTCTTTTACATCTTTTGAGGGGTCTGCGGTATTCGAGGGTCTGCTTTATTTGAGGGTCTGCGGTAGTTAGCTTATCATAAATCTGAATTCGTTAAAATAATTGGTCTGCATGTGTGAAAGTTTTCTTGTGTATGTATTTCATGCTCATGGTAGAGAGTATCATTGACTCGAACTTTTGGCAAAGTCGATGATGTATGACAAAGTAACAAGGGGTGTAGGTGCAACATAGTAAAGGTCAGTCAGTAGGCACAATTATTGCAGCCCTATTACGAGTAATAATGTACTCGTACAGTTTTGAGAGCCACTGTGTGCTCGTATGTTTTGGTGGTCATGGTTTGGTTTTAACATGGGAAATAATGGGGGTTTAAGGAGGAGCTGCACGCACTGTGGAGTCACTCGAGTTTACACATATGAATGGAAGTTGTGAATGGTTACATTAATATCACAATGATGGATGGATGGATGGTTTTTGGGATTGGAGGATATACCGAGTACTTATGGTTGTATTGTATTGTATTGTATTGTATGTACTCGAGTATGTATGTATGTATGATTATGGTTTACGGTCGTGGTTTATTACCAACAGACTAATAGGATAATAGGATAATAGGATAACGGAATACAGAATATAGAATACAGAATACAGAATACAGAATACAGAATACAAAGAAAGTTCCTCTCCTACTCGAGTACTACTTACTGAGTGAGG